GGTTCATATGATACAAGTTTATCACGCACATATGTGGCAGAGAATGCTTCTTTACTTTGTATATTTTTCTTCAAAGCATTTTTCTTTATTCATTCTCGCATGAATTCAGTCGTTTGAGCCAGAGAACGTGCTCGAACATCATACAGAATTCAATTTGCACCTTCTCTATGTTTTAAGTTCTCTGGCTAATATGTATTGTTTCAACATTCCACTTTTATGTTTAGGCACTCGGAGCTTTTTTGTTTATGAAATAGTAGAGTACTCGACATAGCACAGTGTGAGATTTCGACAATCTTGGTGGAAAAATTATTTCTTTAAGATTTTGGTCATTATATGGATTATTTATAAATGAAAAACATATATTTTTCTTTTAAATATACTTTAGAAGAAAAACTTATGCTTAAGGTAGAACAGTTTAATTAAAAATATTCCAAGAAAATTTACTTGAACTCCAAAGGAAACATTCCAAATTATAGATAATACATATATGTACATATATACATACATAAGTATATTTCCTCAAATATATATTAGAGTAATTTTTAATATATGTATATACATATTAAATACATACTCTCTCAAAACAAATAAATGATTTGCGTTTAAACATATTGCACTAACATAGCTACATTTATTCACTTTTACATTTTAAAGTATACGTGTATATTTGGCGTTTATTGTACGTACAAATGTACATATAAAATTATACCATTAACAAAAATTTAAATTAGTCCATTTCATTGAAAACAAAAGTAAAAAATAGAAAAATTGGTCTTTTCGTATACTAAATAAGTTTTAAAAATGGATTTGTACTTCAGCTTTAGCTCCTCCATGGCGATTGCTCTTTCATCTGTAGCTCTAGTTGTTTGATGTCTTTTAGCGCTAATATTTCAATTTCTTTGAGCTCCACTTCTTTAGTTTTTAACTGCAACTCTTTTTCTTTTTGCTCGAACTCTCTTTCCCTTGCAGTCAATTCTGCCTCTAACTTTTGCTTTCGCAATGTTATTATGTCGCCATGGATTTGCGTAATATCGCAAGCCGCTGTTCTGGAGTATATTCCTCTTTGCCTTGGAGTGGTAATTCAAATTCAAAATATACACAAAGCAAAAATACATAAAAGCGAAAATACAAAAAATTCGTGAACAAAGGTAACAATAAATAGTGTATGTATATTGAGTTCATATGGAATATTTTTATGAAAAAGTTTAACTAATCTTTGTGAAATTATTCAAACGATATTTACTAAAATTGTGTGGTTTGGTTAAGTTGTGAAACAACATTTGCTGTCGCTGTTTAAGTTTTTGGAGTTTTAAAGCAAAAATTAGTGTAAGTATAACTATTAAAAATTTGAATGTTTTAAGAAATAAGAATTTCAGGAAATTTTTAAGTGTCGCAATGGAAAGTCAATAAATGTTGTTATTGTACATTTTGTTGCGGAGGGGAAGTAGTTCGTAGTTCAATTTGCACCTTCTCTATGTTTTAAGTTCTCTGCTCATACTGCATTGGTCATTCGTGATAATTTCGCCACTAATATCGTGTCGCAACCACCGCAATCGCCTGATTTACCTTCGTGTAACTGATGGCTATTCAGCAAATTCACATAACCACTCCGAGAACACTGTTTTGACTCAATTGAGGATACAAAAGCTGAATCGAAGAACACTCTGATCCCCATCACGACGGAGGATTTTGCGCGGTGGAGTGGAGAAGGAATACTTTGAAGGAGAAGAAATGGACAAAATTCACCTTTCAATTTGATCACAATAGTATAAATATATCGAAGGATGCACGGAAACGCTTGACCATATACAAACTAACACTTCTTTTTTTTTTTTTGTAACACAAATAAAAACACAACTAAATAGTATAGACAACAAAAACAAAGAGCTCATTTACTGAGTAGTTCTTGGGAATGGGTTGGAGAAAGTTCTTTGTATTATTCCCGTACAACCCGAAAAGTAAAAGAGGCGTAATGCAGTGGAAAAACAACCTCACGAACTTCCCATCAAATACAGACCTCAAAGAAAAAGTGAAGTGACAAACACGAAAGCAAAGAAGACAAAAAATAAAAGTATAGAAACACACATTATTAAACAAATTCTTTCTTTAATAAGACAAAAGAAGTAAAATTTATAGAAAAAATAAATAAAGTGGGAAAACAAACTGTAGTAATCAGCAATCCATTGACTAATTCTAGTTTTTGGCAAACCCCTAAGTTCAAACGAGGATGATTGAACAGGGGGAATAGTTTAAACATTATATTATATATACTTTGAAATGGAATATGACATAGCATTATCAAAATTCGCATGGACCGAATTGCCCAAGTTCCGACACATGAGGAATAAACTGTGAGAACAACGAGCAATTTAAGTCACGTTGAAGTGAAAACAATTTTGCTTACTAAGTACCGAATACCTGAGAATTATTCAATATATCTGAAGGAAACACATGCGCACAGGTTTGTAAGACCAAACAGGGTTAATACTTCCTCATATGCATGTAATTGTGTATACTCGTATATAGAATATAGCTCTTCATTATTGAAAAATTTTATTTTGCAATGAAAATTACTAACGTGACAAAAGATATTGGATTTAAATGTATTTTTTTGCTATTGGTTATATGTACTTGTGAAACTGACTCAGATGACAAAAATATAAACAAACTTCTTAATAATCAAGTTATTGTGAGCAGACAAATCATGTGTGTTTTGGAAAAAAGCCCTTGTGACCAACTTGGTAGGCAGTTGAAAGGTGAGTTTACTTCCAAGTTCGGTCAATGCGATAGATATGTGAATTATGAAAATCTTCTATAAAAATTTTATAATTTTACTTTTATAGGTATGTCTTTTTACATGATGTACATATATATATATATATATATATATATATGCATAGGTAAAATAAGTTTCAGTTAACATAAGAAGTGAGAATATATCCCAGAGATTAAGGAAAGAAAAAACTGCTAAGATATAAAATATACTGCGTCAGAAATTTAAGCTTTTATGAAGCTGTGAATTTCGTTTTAAGTGGAAAGATAGATACGTTCATTAATTTTATTCAAATAATATTAAATATTAACAACTGAGTTGTTTACACTTTATTTCTGTAACTAAATTGTTTTATTGATATTTTATTATATATTGATATTTTAGGTTAGTTAGTATCAGGTAGTTATAATTTCTCCCTTTTATTCTAAATAATTGTATTGTAAAAAATTTAGTAAGTTTTGGTAGTGCCAGCAAATGGTCCGTCTGTCAGCTTATGAAAAGTTTGAGGGAAAATAAGATACCTTGTTAAAAATTTCCACACTTAGCAGAGAAAAGATGCCGACTTTATTGTTTTAAAATATTTTACATATTGAATGATATTATCCTATTTAAGTTATCCAAGGGCACTGAGGTTATTCGCGTATTCATACCCTGAACAGGGTATATTACGTTGGCAACGAAATTTGTAACTCACACACGAAAACGCCGCAGACCCTAAGAAATATAAAAAATTGTCATTCCATTTGGACGATGGTAGTGGCACAACCCGCATTTTGATGAAATCACACATCTCGGGACTGATTGGTATCGACAAAATTTAGTACGTAGCATTCTTCTCATATTTTTATGTTACAGATCGGACGACAACCACGCCTATTTCCCATATAAGACAATTTAGAATTGATTGTTGCATAATTGACTTTTTGCACCTTAAGACATTTCTCTAGCATTGGTTCCTCAAAGTTGAAAGATTTTAAAATGTGCTGTTGCATTCAAAATTAGCCCCTTCTTACTTGTTTAATTTCGTCTCCAATATTTTGTCTCAAAGAACACAAAACATGCTTGCACAAAAAATTTTGAATGTCAGTTTTTCTACCGCCCAAGAGACCGGCAAAAGTAATAGTCCGAAGGTCTGGAGGATATAGTGGATGTGTTAATACATTCCATTTAATCTGAAAAAACTTTTGGCTAAGCATCAAATTTGTATGAAGACTCATATTATCTGGATGGAACACTTCACCTTTTCTATTGTTCAGTGGTTCGCTTCTACTGTTTGAATTAATCGTGGCATTGTTGGTCAAAAGCTCAAAATAAACGATCCCTTTAAACAGACAACAAACAGACAACATAGCCTTAAACGGAACGGTCGCCATAGATAAATTTAATCTTTCAGCTCTCTCTCGAATTATTATTCGATGATTTGCATCAACCAACGGCTTCGAGAGTCCTTCCAGTACGTGGTGCATTTTCAAGATCGATACTGCGGGAACGATATTTGTGGAGTCTTCTAAATGTACTGCCGTTATGTTTGTGAAAACGCAAACTGGATAAGAAAATCTAGTATCTTTAAAGCACGATTGAGGAGGTGCAAGTCTGAGCGTTTAGTTTATTGAGCTGATAATGAAGAAATATTATTATCTTGAAGTTCTAAAAACACATTTTAAATAAAGTGCGGTCAAGCTGGGAATATGTGAGTCAGTGAAGTAAATATACGCACCACTGTACATTTCTCCGCTTATTTACTAAACTATTGAACCTTTTGAGAAAAAAAGCGTAATTTTATATATAATATAATTAAAATTTATGTTCTAAAATTCAAACTTTTCTGTTTTCGACAAGTGCTCGCTCTGAGAAGTCGTGTTTCGCTCTTTACGTATTGTTGACATTCTGCGCATCATTCATTTTCGGATACGTACACGTGTTTATATTTCCAATCTTCTTGAATTCTTTCAATCCATAAGTGTATTTGCTATAAGTGCATAAAGAGTGAAGATTTGTTTAATATGGCCCCCGGGCCGCCCAACCTTGGGGATAACAGGTTTGCATTACTTCCCCCTGGATCCCAGCCAAAAAGAAAGAAACCCACCTACTCCTCCGACAACTTTCCTGACCTGCCGCAGGCCAAGAAAGAAAACCCGAAATATATTCTCATTAATGCAACGGACCCAAACAAGCCAATTTCGAAGTATTCTTGCTTCGCTGTCCACAAAGCCTTAGAAGCTATTAGCAAGAAATCATCTCAATTTCTGAGTTGCGTGCTGGTAATCTTCTGCTGCTGGTAAAAAATAACCAAATTGCCCAAAAGTTCATTTCAACCAAAAAACTTCCTGGTGTGTGTGAAATTGAAGCGAAATACCATTACAACCTCAATAGCGTGAAAGGTACAATCTTTGCTCCCTGCCTCAACAATGTCAGCGAGAAAGAGATAATAGAAAACATGAGAAGACAAGGTGTAGTCGATGTTTACAAATTTACTAGGCTAGCAGAGGGAGTACCACTACCCCAACCCACGGGTGTAGTTTTACTTACCTTTGATCCTTTTGAGTTACCTGGAAAGGTAGAAGTATCTTGGAGAAGTGCAAAAGTGAAACCCTATTACCCCAACCCAATGCGATGCAAATCTTGCCAACTGCTGGGGCATACCGTGAAACGATGCAATAAACCTCCTGTGTGTGTTTCTTGCAGTCTTCCTAATCATTCTTTACCTTGCACACGCACACTATGTGCAAACTGCTCAGGAGATCACCCTTCCTCTGCCAACACTTGCCCAAAATATGTGCAAACGAAGGAGATACTAAAAATAAAATGTCAAAATAAATGCGCCATGAGAGAAACAATTAAACTCTACAAAGCACAATCACCATCAATATTGAATACTTCTTTCGCCGTAGTTGCCAGAGAAGCACAGCTGTCAAATAGTAAGGCTATGTCAACCTCCAATTCTCTTGATATACCTACACATTCTTTAGTCAACAAATCACCCATTACGACTTCACACGATMTTTCTTCCAACAACTCACCACCGGAAAACTCACCTCAAAACATCAGCAATCAACAAGTCAACAATAGCTCAGCCTCCTCTTTCACCCCTGTTCCTAAGCTTTTTACATGTTACAAAAGTACTCTTTACGAAACAGTAAGATCGGACCCCCAAAGGGAAATTAACCCTGGACGCAAATCGACAATTTCACTGTGTATAGAACTCGCCAGAAAGCTTGGAATCACCGTGCCATCASTRCGGCRGAGAGAAGTATTTCCTACCTGGCAGATAAAACATACATCGTTCATTTTAATTCAACAAAAGTCACACCAACCCCGCCATTTATCAACAACTCTTTGCTGAGTCTACAACTTCTCTTCTCCCTGAATGGACTCTAATCTTCACGGACGGATTCAAAACCGGGACAAGTACATCATTCGCAGTTGTCGACGACAAAGGTGCAACAATTAAAGTTGGAATCCTGCCAAGCTACGCCTCCGTTTACATAGCAGAA